AAAGGGTCAGATCAAAGAGGTAACTTTCACTTGTTACTGAAGGGTACTTATGTAATTTGTCAGGGTCGTCTCAAACTATTTTGATGCCCTGTTCTAATCTTAAAAATGGACCCTAATATATAAATAAAAAAAATTCTTTATACTCTGTATATATAAAAATAACCTAGTTAAATACTTTTATAAATATATATCAAACTCCTTTATTAAAAAAAAAAACTGATTTTTTTCTTAAAAAAAATGCATACCTATTGCTTATTTGAGGATTCCGAACAGTTGAACAAGGAAAATGAAAGCTTCATAGTCCCATTAATCCTCTCCACCAACAAAAATATATCAATCTTTTGGACAATTATAAAATTTTAATGTATGATTTGTAAGGCCAAATCAATCTAACTTTTTTTCTTTAACAACAGAATCGATCAATATTTTTATATGAAAAGATAGAAAATTACAGTAGTAAGAGTATATATTGGATGAAAAATGTTAGCAGTTGAAATGAAAATTAAATGAAGAAATAAAAAACGATTGAATTGCTCCATTAACAATTAGAGATTATAATTGCATAAATTAAAATTAAAAATATGAAAGGTTTGAGATTTTTTTATGGGAATTGAAAGAAAAAGAGAGTGATTAGAGGGTGATTTTGAAAAAAAAGGAGAAATTAGAGAAATGCAAGTATTTGTAAAATGGAAAATTGAATTATTTTGATAAAAACTAGGAAGGTAATTTAGATTGCCCACCATTTTGACGGAGATCAAGTAGTGAACTTAATTAATTGTCATTAAGGAATGAAAGCTAGGAAGAAGTCAAAGAAGTTTTCAAATATTTGATTTTAATTTTTTTTTAAAAAAAAAAAAAATTGGACCCTTTGGTTTTGGGGTGTGCAGCAGGTCTGGTTGCACAGGCCCAAAACCGGCCCTGTAATTCGTTGAAATTTTTACCCTACACCCTAGTGTAGGATTTTCTACCTATCCCCCCCCCCCTCAAAACTACATTGTTTTGTAGCTAGTATGGGTAGTACTCCGAACAGCTTTGATTCTTTTTTTTTTTTGTAATTCCTTCCTTTCTTATCATTCAAGCTATGTATATATATGATTTTAAACCATATATTTTCTCTCTCCTCAATTGATTGTGATACCTTCATTCTCTCTGCTCAATTCATCTTCTTCATTTGATTTTTATACTAATTTTCAAGTTTATTTTTTACGATTTTGATAATCGTTGTTGATCATCAATGTCTAATTCTTCCTCTGCCGATTTCGATCGTGATTTCGAAAGTGTGTTTTCATCTGAAGTTCGATTGATTGATTCGTTTGTTCAACAATGTATGATCATAATTTTGTACTTTTTGATTATCAATACTGTGTTATGTGGATGCTCTGTTTATTTCTACATAATTTTGTACTCGATTTTGTTGCTTCAATGTATGTGTTATATGTTTTCATTGCTTCAATTTTGATATTTTGATTATGATGATGATGAACATTTTTGGATTGTTAATACTCTGTTGTGATGACGATGAACATTTTATGTTCATTTTCAATGTCATATTGATCATTTGTTTTTACAATTTTTTTCATGATAATATTATATGTTTAAAATTTTCAAATTGAACATGTGCAGTTTTGTTATTGAACATTTTATGTATTAACTATTGGTCATTTTTGAAACCCTTTATGTTCACTTATAATTGTGTATTAATAATGTGTGCAATAGAAAAAAAAAGGGTGATATAGTTGATGAAGAAGCAGCTAAGTCTGAATTAACAATTTAAATCTGAAGAAGAAGCTTTTGAAATGTATAACGAACATGCTTTTAGGAACGGTTTTGGAATTCGAATTGGGAAGAGTAAGAGGAGAAAAGACAATTCATTTTTTATTATTTGTTTGTTGTATGAGAGTTATAAAGATGATAGGTGTAGGAATAATAGTGTTATGATAAGTGTAGGCTTATATTGAAAGCACTCTTCAATCCAGCATATCTGATGATTTAGATATTTCATCTTTTGCTAAGGTTTTGTTTTCTAATATGTGTATATATGTATTTGTAATTGAACATTTATTGATTTAATATTGATCATAAATTAACTTTTTTTTTTGCAGGCGAAGGATTTAAATGTTGTTGAACGTGTTTCCGTTGTTCAAGCTCGTTCTAACGTTTCTACAAACATAAAGGTGTTGTTGGTGTTAAAACTAATGCTCAAATTAATCTAAGAGTTCCAATTCATACTAGTGCGTCTACAAAATCTCAAACTGGTTATTTTGTTCCACCCATAGTTCTTGGCATTGTTCAAACTTCAACTCAGGATTGTTCAAACTTCAACCCAGAAATGTTCAAACCCCATTTCAGAAATGTTCAATCAACAAATATTTAAGTTATTCTTCCCACGGTTCCAATAAATGATCAAGGTGCTCTTGTTCAAAATTCTTCAAGTGTTAAAGACATAATAATTTATTTCTATATAGTACCTTTTTTAGTATATTATATTGTTTTTTTAAAATTCAACATATGTAAATGATTATTTATCAATTTGAAAATGAACAAAAGTAAAGAACCAACAACCAATTTATAAAACCTAAAAAATATTTTTTTTTTTCATACAAATAAAGATTAAAATGAAATATCAATTACAATAATTTTTTTAACAAATAAAATCTATAAGTCTATTTTCCTCCAAAAACAAACATCTATAAAACTATATATAATAAATGAACATATACATATTCATAAATGAACATATAACATGTACTATTCCTTTGCAAACTTTCTTGCTTATCTTCTATTTAACCTAGAATTAGTGTTTTTCTTCAAATAATATAAGTTTCGCATCCTTGCTTCCTAATTTGGTCCACCTGTTGAACAAAATGAATTAACAAATGTTAATTATTATAGACACTGCTTTATAAATGAACAATATATCTTACATTATTGAACATTTATCACTTTTACACTGTTTGGTTTCAAATCACAAATCTAACTCTCATTAAGTTTAGTAGTGAAGGTTTCTATATGCTTCCTAATGTATACTCCGCAGTTTGTATAATCAGCGTTGCTAAGTCATTTTATCTTCTCCAAAACAACTACATATTCTTCAATTCTATGTGCAAATTTATATCATATGTGTAACTTTGGACATCACTACAATATAGCTAGATTGGTTATAAGATATTAGTTTTAATGCATACAAATGAATATTATCAATATTACACATGTGCATAATGTATAAAAGAAATGAACATTCGTCTCTTAGGCATATAAATATATATATGTAATCTGAAATGAAATAATATTAACATATATTTTAAAATGAACATTACTTTATATGTAAATGAACATTATGAATTTCATAAATGATCAAAAGATTTCATTGAATGAATAAGTCAGTTTCTCAACTCAAATGAATGAATATTTATGCATTTCATAAATGTGCATAACGTATCATAAAAATAAACATTTTTTATTTAAGCATATAAAGTCAAATATAAACTCAAATAAATTCAAATATACAAATGAACATTTATAATTCAGTATATGTTCATATATTACCTCGAAATCGTAGAAATGTTAACATCTATACCATGAGACTTTTTAATATCTTTTAAAAGTTCTATATCTACAACTTGAGACTTTTGTTCGCTGTTTTTTTTTTTTAAAAAAAATTTCTACTATTGTTTAAATAGGTTTTTGAAATAATACTTACGTTTCTACAAAATCTGCCTTGTTGTGTTCAACGAACAAGATTCTAATCTGAGTAATCATTCTCTTTATCTCTCTACTTCGAAACATATTTTTCGGTTCTACAAAAACAGCACCAATATAGTAGATTTTAATGATTTTTGCATAAAATAGTTCTAATCAACTTAGATTATGTTTCTGAACATGTAATTTCAAAATAAAATAGAAAAACTAGGGTTCGTACAAAAAATTGTAGTAAAATTACTTACTCTTTCTGTGAATGTTTTTGCAATTGTTGAATTTCTTCGCAAATGTAGACATTTGAAGCAATTTAGCAGTATTTTGAAGCAATTTCAAAGTATTTTGAAGCAGTTTCGTAGTATTTTGAAGCAATTTTGGTTCAGATTTTTTTGTTGTGATGAGAGAGAAAGTCTAGAGAAATGAAGAAGAAGGTTTGAGAGAGAAATTAAAATGATTTGGTGGGTAGTTACTGCAGGTTTGTGGGTTATGGGATGTGGGTAAAATGATAAGTTTAGAGGGGGTGTAGGTACCCCTACCTACACTAGGGTCTAGTGTATACCAATTAGTAATTCGTGGGATATTTGAGTTAACTATAGTTATTTGGTGTTAACAAGTAAACAAATTCTACCTTCCTCCAACCCACCTTCATCCTCATCCTCCAACCCATCTTAAAGCGGTTTGGTGTTAACAAGTAAACCGGTTTCGGCGGCTTCGCCGTCGGAATTAAACGAAAACCTTAATAACACGGGGAGAAATTAAGGGTATAGTTAACCCTAGAGGGTAATTGATTTTTCCGTCCTCCATTCATTTCTCCATTGAAGCTAAGCATGCCCTTCATCTCCATTGAAGCTGAAATCGATTTGGATTGATTAAACTGTTTTGCATATTAATTAGGTAACCACACTTCAAGCCTAAGGTCTACAACTCATCATCATCATCCGCCGAATCAACTAACCTTCGTCTCCCCTAGCTCAACCTGCACAATCCCCCTTTGTCTCACACTCTAATTATTTGATTACATTTTTTCATTGCATAGTTTGTAAGCCGTTAACGACGTTACCGCTTCAATACAAGTTGGGTTAAGCTTTCAACCCAAGGTTAGATGTCAGGTATAGCTAGAGCAATTTTTTTTATTATTTTTCACGGATCCCAAAGCTATTTATTTACAAAAGTTGCCATTTGAGAAACATAAATGTTTCAATTAACACAATAAATAAACAACATATGATCACACAACTTCTACTCATCATGAACAAATGTCATACATAATAAATTATAAAGCCATAGCAAATCCTTGGTTAATTTCACAGTTCAGCCTCATAATCATCATCACCATTGTTGGCTTTAAAAAAACTAATGAACTGGTTGAAATGCCTTTGTAATTTATTGATGACTAGTGCCAGAGATACTCGGTTGTTAGCGGTCGTAGTAGCGCCTTCGTTCTTTAGAAGCCCCATGTCTCTAGCAATTTCTTCGACACTGGACACTGGCCAAGGATTATCCTCAGGATCCTTTAAATCTAGTGGCGGCTTGATTTCACCTCCCTTAGAATTCTTAATTCCTACAGTGATCTTCTTCCAAGTCTTTTCAAATTCGATCGTTTTAAAGTCGGGTTTATAGCATTCATCAGTTTCTTTCTCAAAATTTTCCACAATCATTCTCTCGATATATGCAAATCGTGTTGCCTCGGAAAGCATTTGCATAACAACGAGCATAAATCGAGCTTCACTCGTATCAACAATGGGCTGCCCATAAACTTTGTTAAAGAATAAGATTAGTGGTTGTTTTCCCAATCCCAAATTGGCTCTAGAACCTGCCTTACTCTCAACCTCAGCATAATTACTTTCATAATGCATAACTAGACGATCAGCTTTAACTTTCGCCTCTGGAAAGAGATTCTTTTCAGCATCAGCAGGGTAACTCTTGGCAAAATCTTTAAAAATATGTGACCTAAAGTTTCCATTAATTTTGTCAAGATAAGCAACCACATATAAATTATAATCTTTTCTTAAATTCACAGCAATTGTGATTGTCCTTCCCCCTGATGCTGTCAAATCGACATACAAATAATTTTTTGCTGCTGAAGGTTTCGCCATTACTGGTAAATCGGGGCGCCCACCATATACAATCTTTCTATCCCTCACTATGTTACGTACATCAGTCAACAATTGCGAGTAGCTAGCTATTGTAGCACCTTCGATGTCGAAACTTACATCTGGTTTTGCGGCGAGAGTTGGTTCAAGCACCATCCATACTGCTATGGCTACCATAACATAAGCGCTCGTGATTTTGATTCTCACCATTCTACGTACTGTCTTTTTCGCCTGTCAATACTAGGTGCACATAATTTTGTTAGAATATATATCAATTCATCCGTATTACTTGATTACTTGCAACATACATCACTTAGAATGCATTGTAAGAAAGAAGAGATTTGAAGAGGTAAACGATTTAATAATTCAATAAGTCAATAATTCTCATGCCTGTGTTTCAATTATTTTGATTAATATGCTCATTTAGGGTATGTTCACATTTACTGAACAGAGCTGAATCGAACTGATTGAAGCTAAACTGAACTGAACTAAACTGATTGGAGCTGAGCTGAACTAAATTGAACTGAAATGAATATTTTATGAGAGAGGAAAATTAGGAGCTGAACTAAACTGAATTGAACTCATTGGAGCTGAACTAAACTGAAATTAAGTAAATGTGAACATGCCCTTAGTCATTTACCACAAAATCTATTCTTTAAAACAAAAAGGATATTTTGTGAGAAACAATCTAATATAATTCATATTTTGTGAAAAACTACCAAATAACAAGTAAAATGTTTTAAAATACTATCTTTGTCGGATTTTCATCGTTGACCCACCTCAAAATATGTTCGAAACCACTACTCTTATCCCAAAACCATTACTACCTGATTGAAATTTCCTCCATCGTACCACGCTGAAACCACCCTACATCCCCAAAACCACCACCCCTAACCCCAAAAACCACTAGCTCGATGCATGATATTACCCCCACCAACTCGTAATATTCTCCAACCACCCAAAAAAAAAAACCTTATTACCTTGGAAACCAACCCCGGCCCACAGTGGTTTAGTGGGGTGTTTTGAGGTGGTTCAACCCCATAGAATTTGGTCAACGGTGAAAAATATTTACCTTTTATTAGCTCAATTGCTAATCATCGCCCGCGAATCTCCACATAAAGCCCACAAAATTAGAGTGAATTGTCACTTTTGCCCTCAAAGTAAAAAACACAATTTCTTCTCTCAATTCTCTACTTCCACTTTCTCTCTCTAAAAAACTTTCCGAGCGATGTCGAGGCGGCCCGGCAAGGAAGTGGCGGCACATGCGGCGGGTGGACAGCGGTTTTCCGGCGAGAAGGTATTTTTTATTAATTTTGTGTTTAAAAATTAAAAAAAAAAAAGGTCGGAGGCGGTGGCGGCGCCTAGGCCAGACGCCACCACCACGGCGGCGGCGTCTAGCCCAGACGCCACTACCACGGCGGCGGCGCCTAGGCCAGACGCCGTGACGGTGGCGGTGGCGTCTGGCCCAGGCGCCAGAACCACGGCACCGACGTCTGGCCTAGGCGCCGCCGCCGTGGTAGTGGCGTCTGGGCTAGACGCCGCCGCCACCGTCACGGCGTCTGGCCTAGGCGCCGCCGCCTTTTTATTTTTTTTTTTTAATTTTTTTTTTGGTTTTAAATTTGAAATTTAATTTTCGAAAATAATTATTTTTTTTTTGATTTTTTTTTAAATTTGTTTTTCTTTTTTTTAATTTTATGTTCTTGTTTATTGTTCTTGTTTTTTTTTTTTTTGAATTAGTTTTTTTACTTAAAAAAAATTTTATGTTCCCTTTTTTTTGTTATAAATTTTTTTTAAAATTTTGATGTTCTTCTTTTTTTAAGTTTTTATAATTTTATATTTTTCACTTTGTTTTTTCCAATTTGTTTTTTTTGGGTAATTTTTTTTTTTGCTTTGTTTTTTCCAATTTTTTATTTATTTATTTATTAGGTTATTAATTTTTTTATTTTTAGGTTGTTAATATTTTGTAATGTTTTTAATTTATTTTCCATCATATGTATATTGTTTTATTTATTTATTTTAATTACTTTTTTTATGTTTATATTACATGTTTATATTGCATATTACATGTGTTGTTATTTTGTGTTAGGCATCGTATTTTCGTTCTGGGGCTGGGAAGAGTATGGACATTATGAGAAGTACGATGAACTCAATGGAGAGCTCGGGGCCCAGACACGTTAGATCCCGTGGTATTTCGGCCTCGGCTCGTAGAGAACGGGTGCACTATTCTGAGGATGATGAAGATGATGATGGTGATGAGGAGGAGGAGGAGGAGGATGCAGATGAGGATGTGGACGATCAGAGTGGACCATATGATGATTACGGTCCATTCAGTCAGAGGCTTGATGATGTGTATGAGACGCGTAGGGTAGACGTGCGTAAGGGTAGAGATGGTAGATTTGTTAGTAGATCTGGCACATCATCTGCGTCCACTGTGTCTGCGGTTAGCAGAAAACGGTCGAGGGCCGTTAATGATTCTTGGGTGGTGAGGGGCGAGGTGGCTGGGGGACCTATAGACGGGAGTGTGATTCCTAGCTTTCTAGGACACATCGCTACCCGTATTTGGGAGGACCAAGAGCGGGCTTTGGATAGCGGCATTTTGAAATGCCAAACCCGGGAGAGGACTTGTAACTTCTTGTGTAGTTGGGCTGAGGCTTGGCCGGAGGAGAGCGAGATGGTCGGCCGATTGAGGGCCACTAGAGTGAGCCACCTTCCTGCCACCATGCATGAGAGGATTGACTCGACGCTGATCACGGCTTTCGTTGAGCGATGGCAGCCGGACACGAACTCTTTCCACCTTCCGTTCGGTGAGATGACGATCATGTTGCATGACGTCGAGGCCATCCTTGGGATTCCCGTAGAGGGAAACCGAGCATCTGTTGTCACAGATGCGGATCAGGCAGATTTATTGGCGGAGCTGTTGGCGGTGGATAGGGCTGCGCTGTACACAGCGGCACTTGGTGTGTGGGATCACGGCGGTGTTAAGATCGCAGCAGTTTTGCAGCGATGTTTGCACCCCACTTCACGTAGGACGCAGGACACACAGCTGGCTGCATATGTTTTTCTTCTTCTCGGGTGTACCTTGTTTCCGGATAAGAGCGGAAACAAGCTCAGGCCACGCGACATAGTTGACGCGTGTGAGCCCGACAGAGTAGGCCAGTTTTCTTGGGGGTCGGCTACATTAGCGTACATGTATCGCCAGTTAGGATTCTCGAGCCGGGCTGATGCGGCAGGTATCACTGGATGTATGACGTTGTTACAGACGTGGATATACGAGTATTTCCCGGCGTTTCGACCACACCGCGACCCGGTTCCTATTGGGGATGGCCAGCCACGTGCCTGTGCGTGGAGTCCGCGTGTCGAGAAGAAGTCCATTGACCGCCTGCGATCGATACGGTTATTGCTTGACAGGATGTCCCCATTAGAGGTAAAGTGTTTAAATTATTTCTACTTTTATAGTTGCAGCGGCCGCCAACTGGGGTGGCTGCCATGTGTGACCAGCACTACATGGAGTGGTACAACCGGCACTCGCACCCGAGGTTGATCAGAGACGTCCACCACGGCGACGACGCCGATGATGATGATGTGCCACCGCCCACTGCCGTGGATGCGGTACGTCTCATAAAACATTTGTAGTTGTGTTTTTTTTCATATAATATGTCTCATAATACGTCGTTATTGAATTTTATGTGTTTTGTTATGTGTAGTGGATGGGAAAGATGACGCAGTTGGGACACAGACTTTTTGAGGAGAGGGACAACATGACGACTGCAACAGGCAGAGCTGTTATTGATGAACTGGAACGGGCCCTTGAGCAGTGGCAGTGGGCGTCACAGAGAGATTATTGATATGTCGGCAGTGCATTTATAAAACATTTTCCTAGTTGTTTGTAAAAGTTAACATTATCTGTTCTTATAATTATTATTTTAAGTTCTTAGAATTTGACATTATATTTTTAGTTTTTATAACTTTTATTTTAAGTTGTAATTAGTGGGCATACGAAAACTAAATACAGGTTCACATTTAAATGGGAAAACTAAATACGAAAATTAGAATCCGAAAATTAAATAAATGGGAAAAACATAGCAATAGCAATATTAGGTCACATAGAAAAGGCAACTAGATTGTTCCACTGCTGCACCCGGTCATGATATAACGCATCCCAGCCCTCTACGCTTGCTGTACGAATGGTGTACCACGTTGGTATAATCGGTGGGACCGGAAAATCGGGTGACAGGTCCAGTCGGATGAAATGTCTGTATGACGGCCCCAGAAATCCAATAGCAACCTCTCTTACCGGTCTGGTGACGGTCTCACGCGAACACCAAGGCAGAACCGTGGTACACGGATAGTAAGCTCGACCATGCAAACCAAGGCCGAAATGCATCACTGCACACTTGTAGATGTTTGCAACGGCGAAGAGATCAAGGGGCGCGTCGAACCAATGATTTTGACCGCAACGTCCTCCTCCCCACCGGATACGCTGCAGAGACCTATCCAAGTCCTGTCCGTACACGTGGCGATAAACAGCTCGGTTTGAGGCGATTTCACTGTACATCAACTGACGCACTAAACCGTAGTTGTCTTCACCCATCTGAAACACATCAGCCACAACCCGAAATCCACAGTTACCATCTGCAACCACATCATTCCACCCGTCCAGGAACGGCATCATGATGTTAGGGATCCTGTCTTTATATGGAAAATGTTCAATGTCCATTCTGCCTGTTGCACACATCAAAAAACACAATTAACAAGTTAGCAGAAAACTAAACAAACACTCTAAAAAGTAAATTAAACTAAAGTACCGTACCGGTGCCGGGCATATTCACCGACGAAGATGTTTGACTACCACTTGATGACGATGTACGACCACGGCCACGACCACGACCACGACCACGAATGTACTCAAACGCACTCCTTTCCCGCCGTGGTTGTCGGCCCCGTGGTCGCTCGACCCCCTCAGGTTCCTCATGATCCAAGCACGACGAGTTGAACATGTCATGAAGTACGTGGGTAGCACTACGAATGACTGAAGGGTGGCTGGAGGACACTTGGTCAAACATCGAACGAAACTGCTCCAACTCCTCCTGTTCACGGTTGACTGTCTGTGGAACAGCATGCTCTCCGATAACGAGCGTCCGCCAGAATGGATGAACCTGATCAACATGTAACGACGCCCTATCTTGCGTAATTACGCGGTGAATGGTGCATGCACAAGGTAGTCCATGAGTCACCGATATAGCACATCCGCACCGAATAGCCACTTCATCACCCAACTCCCTCATCCTGGTGTGCTCGCTCAGAATCAACCCCAAGCAGTAGTGTGACACACGACCATGGAGAATCTTAAATATGAAATGGCTATACATCGTGCCATGTCGCCGTCTGGAGTCCTCGAGAGAGTTCTTGATGCCGTTCCTCTGAGTATCAATAGCCTTGTTTATTCTCTCGAACAGTGTATCCAGAGCAGAGGTGGAAGAATCAATCCAGTCCTTCAGAGCTCTATGAGCGCTCTCAACTCTACATGTAGTAGTGTTTCCAAAATGAAGAACTTGGTTTGTCCAATATTTGACAAACTTTTCCCTCTGAGGCACCCACTGCTGCATCACATAGTCTACGATTGCCGGGCACCATTGGTATGCATCCTTGAAGTTATCCAAGGCTCGGTCGTACTCTGCCTCCGTGGTAGCTTGCAGGATCTTCCGCCACTTACCATTTACCAATCTCTCTGCTGAATCTAAGTTCTTGTTGAAAAGGTTGTAGGCTTTGACTTTCACGCATTTGTTGATGTGCCATGTGCACAGTAAATGGCTCGACTCCGGAAACAGCTCCGCTATAGGGGCAAAGAGACCTCCCTCACAATCGCTGACGATGGCCGATGGCTGAACACTTGGGCCGATGTAATTTCTCAACTTCTCCAACACCCAACGGTAACTCGCAACCGTCTCATCCTTCATAACTGCATAACCAATCAAAAAGTTCTGGTTCGTTGGAGTCATCCCAACCATCTCAACCAGTGGAAACTTATACTTGTTTGTCTTGTACGTTGAATCGATCAGAATCACAGATGGCCAAGACGAAATCATATCAGCACAATCAGGATGCACAAGGAACAAATGAGTCACCTCCGATGTGTCTTCATCAGATTCAAACCAGTACAGGTAACCACGTGCTTGTGCCTGGTGTAGAAGCTGCTGTATAGGGTTCCTTCCCTCTGACCGTTCAAACCTCAATTTATGTCTGACGTTGTAGATGTGTCTTCGGTTTGGCTGGTCTTCAGGAAATTTCTCCAACACAGATGCTAATATTTTAGCAGGCTTCACTTGAGCATCACTCATTTCTTTTACAATTAGTTTCGCAGCAGGACTTAGGCCACTTAACTGTCGATGACCCACTTCATATGCGATCATCTCATGGTTGTGATACCCCCATTTACCGTAACTCTTCACTTCCCAACCGTCACCCCTTTGCTGTTGTCGAACCTTTACTCTGAACTGACACCCACAACCTTTCCGCTTTGTATCAAACCGAATCGCTTGACTGAAATCTCGTTCCTCCCTTTTGCGATAACGGTCGCATCTCAAAATGCGATCCATTCTACCATCCCGTTGAGATTTATGAGTTGCTACTACTAAACAAAAACCTGATCTAATTGCAACCTGTTTCGCCCAATCAACCGCTTGTTGAGCATCTTCGAACAGACCATCGTGTACAAAAATCCCACTATAATCATTTCCGTCTCCACCATAATCCTGCAACAATAACATATAAATATAATCACATAAGAGTAGATTAAATTAATACATTTGACACAACATTAGCACAAAAGCAAAAACAATAATAAATTATAAACAACAAACAAAGAAATAAACAAAAAGTATTCAAAAAAAAAAAAAAAACAAAACACAAAAATAAAAAACATAAACAAAACTTTAGATTAAATAAATAAAAATAAACCAAAAAAAAAAAAAACAAAAAAAAAACATAAAACGAAAAAAATTGTAAAAAAAAAAAATAAAAAATAAATAAATTAAAAACAAAAACAAATTAAAACAATTAAAAACAAAACAAAAAAAAAAACAAAAAAAAAAGAAAAAAATTGTAACACAAAAAAAAAAAAATAAACAAATTTTAAATTAAATTAAAAAAAAAAAAAAAAAATAGTGGTGGCGCCTAGCCAGGACGCCGCCACCGTGGCGGTGGCGTCTAGCCAGGACGCCGCCACCGTGGCGGTGGCGCCTGGCCAGGACGCCGCCACCGTGGCGGCGGCGTCTTGGCCAGACGCCAAGGCCACGGTGGCGGCGTCCTGGCCAGGCGCTAGAGTTACGGTGGCGGCGTCCTGGCTAGGCGCCACCACTACGGTCACGGCGTCCCGGCAGGACGCCAGCCGCCAATTCGTGGTTTTAGATGGCATCGTACCTCCTTTTCCGGCGTCAACGGCGTCTCTCCGGTGCATCTACCCGACGTTGAGGGCTCTTCGGTTTCACTCGGCGATCCAGTCCTGCTCCACATTTTTTATGAGTGAAAAATTTTATTTTCGGTAAAAATTAAAACAAGGGCAATAATGTCAACATTTTTAAAAAATGTGGGCTTTATGTAGAAAAACGCGGGCGATGTTTAACAAATCCCTTTATTAGGTAGTTTCTTACAATATTTTTTTTTAGATTATTTCACAGGTTTTATTAGATTGTTTTTGACAAAAAATCCAAATTAAAAATATGTTATATTAAAAGTAATATGAAATGGAGTAAGTACTAAAGAAAAAAAAAAAAAAAAAGAAAAAAAAAAGGGTATTGACACACAATACAAAACAAAAAAAAAAAAAAAATTACTAGTTACATAATAAAGTGGCTTCATGCATCAACAAAAGATGACTTACCAATAAAAACTGGGAAATGAAAGTAGCTTGATTATGAGTGCAGATGACTAATAAAATGTTGTACTGAACAAACAATATAATGAGCTACAATTAACCTTCAACAGCTCAACCTATTATCTTCTTTAAATAGAAGTCCTCATGAGAAAAGTTTATGAATAGACATGTTAGACACCCAAAAATTTTTAAATACTTTGTATAAAAATTGAATAAAAACTACGAAGTATATTTAAGCAATTATATTCCATATAGATGATTGACCAACTATACAATAAAGAAAGTGTGCTTAATAAAAGCTATAATGCTGATGTCTCCAATAAATATAACAGGTAACATTTGTCACACATTTTAAATTAAGAAAATTATGTGTTATACCGTTCGTTATTTTTGTAATCTAGAGTTAGGATTGTGCGGAGTTTAATAAAATAAGATGTTAGTTGGGTAGAATAAATAATAAAAAAATATTAAGAAAAGATAGTACGGTAAATATTTTATTGAAATGTAAAGTAGTGTGAGAGCCTGAGAGGAGTGTGGACCATTGAAAGAGTGAGAAATAATAAAGTAAGACAATATGGATCATTAGTAGGTAAAGATACATTGTTAAATTGTAAGAGATTTTCAAAAGAGAAAATGTAGCTTTAGATAAAAATAATAACTGTATCTTTTAAGAAAAAAACGGAGGGAAGAATACTATGTTATACTCCCTAAGACGTCAAAAAATAAAAATTAAAATATTATACTCCTTATGAAACTGCATTATACTATCATACTATGGTAGGAGAAACGTGGTATACTTGTTAAGAGTTCAGATCTAATCGGGGGAAACAAAAAAAAGTAAACGATCAGCAATTTTTGGTTTTCTTTTTATATCCATGTAATTAGTCATTGATTCATACACGCAAACAAGTAAACAATAAAATTAAGTGGAAATCATTAGCCTTAGGTTATGGTAATTGTAACCTAAACCTTCTAACCAAACACTAGGTAATGGTAATGGTTTAGTTGAATCCGTTTCCAACCCAATAAATACTCTTACTAACATGTTCTAAAATTACAGAGGACCATCATTAACAATTTTTTTGATATCAAAACACCATCAGGAAAATAGACTATCAGTATATTTCTCTCTTTTTTAAGATAAAAGGTTAAACCACTTGATCATTTAATTTTCTGCTGGAAATTACATAGAAGTTTAAGAGTATCACATCATGTACTTATCAAATCATACAATATACGAAGTATTGAATAAGGTTGTCTTACGTTTCTGGTATTTCAACAATGTATTACTTCACAATCTATAGTCTAAACCAGCTCCATACTTCCAAGCATCAAGATATCGCTTCCATTGAAACTTCGACTTGGAAGGGAATTTGTTAATTGAAGACCTAAGAAAAGCTAAGCGATCAAGATTGAACAACTAAACAAAAGAAGTAGATGAAATACAGTTAATGTGTATGCCTCATCCATGCAACCATCAGGTCATTATGAAATATAAACTCGATTAGTAACAGCTCATAATACTCACCTAATTAAAGGATCTACAAAGCTTGAGAGGAATGTGTAATGACCAAGCATAAAGAAATGCCCGGACCAATCAATCAGCACAGGAAAACCAACCTGAAAACATCAAATAATCGAATGAGTTTAAATGTGAAACTGACAAATGATTAATTCTGAGAAGCATTATTTCCAAACATGTTTGTGCAACTGTTTTTGTCATAGCAAAGCAAGCAAGCCCTTTAAATGTATGTGTCACATATCCGAACTATAGTACAATATATATATATATGGTTCAAACTAAGGGGCTGTTCCGATTTACTGAAAACAACTCAAGTGAACTGAACAAATTGGAACTGAACTTAATTGAAATAAATTAGCAAAAGAACTGAACTGAACTGAAATTAAGCTGAACAGAACAGGTCCTAAGTGGATAACTTCCTTCCATGCCATAATCAAGCACGAAAATACTTAGTAATTGTTTTTTCGATTTAAACATCTGTTTTGGAGGGTCTTATTATTGTATTTTTTAAAAATATTCTACCCTTAATATTGCAGATCTATAGCACATCAAAACTAAAGTATAATATTTTCCCTGATAAAAAAATAAAAAATAAAAAATAAAAATTAAGTCCGAGGATGTTGGCAAAGAGCTAGTGTGAACAGGTCATATAGAATACAGTACAATGCTACTATCAGGATTTCACAGGCAGTAGAGCTAGGTGCCAGTATCAACATTCTATACTTTTTCCACATTATATCTCTACGTTTGGTACAAAGTTTAGAAGTTAAGTTAAATAACATGTGAGAAAGGAGTTACTCATAACTTACCTGCTTGAATATGGAAGGAATGATGAGAGGTTTAGTAAGCATGACCAACCCCAATGTTTTGACCAGGGGTCCAAATTGAATGACATCCTGTCCAAAAACATTAACCTTAATGTTAGAATAATCAGAATGACCTAAAAGTTTTATGTCTAGAAGCTAAGTATATTAATACATGCACACAGATATCAGAAGAGCAGCGAAAATGAAAGAGACAATGACCTGAAGAAATGGTCTCAAAACAGGATCACCAAGCTTCTGTAGATTTTGTACATTGTCACGATAGCAGAAAAGATAAATATTCTAATTTGAAATTGTTGTAGAACAAAAAAAAATATCTGGATCATTTCAAGAAACATGTAAGTTTTACCTCCATACTCTGGAAATTGGCATGAAGTAGCTCATTGATGAAAGAAGGCGATACATCAGGCTGTTGCTTTGCTGACATTGCTCTTTGAAATAGCCAAGAAGCACTTAGATTGGGCTGCAAATACACACTTGACTTAATATATGCTGAGATAAAAGTCTATTAGAGTGTCAAGCACCACTTACCAAATATGGATTCAGCAAAGACAAGCTGCTCGAGTCAAGAAAATCGCCCTCAATTGCTTCGTATATTCCTGATGGCACAGGATAAGGGCTTATTAGATAAATTAGCTTATCCAGTTTTACATGAAGGTTAAAGCAAATTCCAGTATCATTCTGACAAAAAATAAAAGCTATTATGTTTCTCATGCTTTATAGATTACACAGTAATTTCTTGTGGAAGACTGTAAAGTATACCCGACGATAATCTCTCAAGGTGCCTGGTCAAGCTTCCAAAACCACCAAATGAAACAGGGGATTGAATACCGCTAGCATCACCAAACTGCAGAATATACTTTAGCAATGCTTGAAACCATATAATCCATGGAAGGGTTTTGAGTTACAATGTGAAACACCTGTAGAATACGATTAAATGCAGCTGGTAGTGGACTGCAATACCGCAGTAAAAAAATTAGAGGAGAATGACAAAAGAAGAGCATACAATTAGTAAAATACTCATCGATAAGAGGTTTGCAAGAAATATATGTTTGTTATTCATGTTTATTTCCATGAGATTGGAATTGTTATGCTTTGTTCAGGAATTGATTATATTCATAAAGAGATACTTATGCAGTGAAATTTATACTTTGAGAGAATCTACAGATCATGAAACAAGTTATTAGCACTTATAAGTTATAATTTACCTGTCACGATAAGTAGGGAATATGCCATATACAACTCTCATAAAATCGAGGTCATCCAGAGAAACTCCCTATCAGACAACAACAAATAAAGAAAAGTCATTGCAATTAGGGAAGAAGCATGACCTCATAATATACGCAGGCAGAACCGCAGAATGTTTATACATTTTGTAATCAACAGAAACCAAATTCAGGATAAATATATTCCAAGACTTTTGAAGAGCCAGAAAAGCAGCAAAAGTCATATTGCATATCACAGAAACATTGACATTGTTTTGACTTTTGAGAGTCGATATTTTCACTTTATGCCAGAGAAACAACGGAAATATTCAGCATTTTATACCAAGACCCCGGGAAGAGTTATAAACTTAATTAAGTTTCCATCTTAAATTGTTAAAAACAAAGACGTGTAAGATGACATGAATTCTAACTAGAAAACTGAAAGGCACCAGCAGAAGATTTAAGTTTACCAAGTTCAATGAGTAGAAAGTAACAAAGAGAAGGTTAACTTTCTCTAATTCAGAAGGCCAAACGCAAGAAGTGAAATAGGATATTTAATCCCTCAATAAAGATACAAGATTATACAAAGAATGTCAAGCATTTCCTATCGACAAGATATACAATTTTGAAGTAGAATTAACATTCAAAAAGGAAAAGTGAGTTAAAAAGAGCAAAGCTGAAAGAAAGATAACATTAAAAATTTAGATAGGCATATGTATGGCTTCACAGAGAGAAATTATCCATTTCACCTGATATTTTGGCATCAATTCCCAGTAAGTTTCTAAGAGATCTTCCAGGGTAGGGCATCCTGGCTGAGGGTCCATATAGGTAAACATGTAAGTTGTACGATCCATGGGACCAGAACCAGCTGGAAACGCCTGCAGAATGTACAACGGTAGTTTAGGCGATGAAAATTTGCAGGAAAAATAAAACCAGCTGGTTAAAATGCTTATTTCTTTCAAGGGAGATTACCTCCCAAAACAGTTGGGCTTCTGATTGACCAATTTTCTGCACTGTTGCACTGCTATAGATGACATCACTTGTGGTGTTATTTGTAAAGCCACTTGCACAAGAACCAACAACAACGCAAACACCATCTGGCTTCCTTCCATTTCGTATCTGTAACTCAATATGTAAGCCACTTCATCAGTTAGGGAGAGCCTGAAAGAATTATTCTAAAAAAGAAGCATCTGATAACCTGATCTGTCTTTTTTGTCAAACTTTGCAAAGTTAAAAAATATAATGATCAGTTAGGGAGAGCCTAGAAGAAATAATCATGAGGATACTAAGGAGTATGGATACATAAAAGCATTCATGTGCTAGAAATGTAAATTATAATGATACTAAAATACTAACCTGTCTTGTGATAGGAGAAAAATTTCCCATAGCATCAATGATTAGGCGTGATGATAAAATCTTCTCTTCAGATACTTGCAAAACCTACTACGCCAGGAACAACAACAGTGAATGATTTATAGCGGCATAAATCATGTATAGTAAATGTCCACATTAGACATTACTCTGATTACAATCCTTTTAGAAGGTATAATGGTATAAAATTGCTCTGTAAGTGAAGGTGACTACCAAAAGTCAGATTAAGCTGAGATCTTGAACTTACTGCTGAATCATCATACACACATATGCTAGATACACTGTAACCCTCCATGATAATACCACCAAGAGACCTGAAGCGTTCCTTCATTATCTCAACCAACTTAGCTGGCCTGCATTTTTTAAGGAGTCGAGCAGAGAAATAGAGGACAAGATTGGTCAGATATGTTGCATCAATTAAGGACTTTTCTCATATTCTTCCAGCTTTTTTTTTTCTAGGAATAACAAATTGTAAGAGATATTCAACTAGAGAAAATTGTCTGCACTGTGTACACATAGAAAATAGGAAATTCGATAACAAAACCATAAGATTAAATTTTTTTTTTTTAAAAAAAAAAAAGGATAAATCCTGCTTTGGTTCTGCACCAAATACCAAGAATTGGCTTTCCTTTTGGGTAGCATGCTTCTTGGTCTTCATGGATAAAGGACGAGTGGACCATACAAAATTGAATAATATATCCCAGCCTTTATAAATTAAACAATCAAAATTGCTTCAAATTGCAAAGTTTTTTAGTGTCCAGGCAAACTCTTGAACTGTTATTAGATTAGCATACAGCAAAGATAGGGTATTATTTGGATCATATGTTACATAGAAACTGAGGGGACTTTTACACAAGCTACTGGTTGACGATCAATTAGTACTACTATTTTAATGATTGATCATGAATGGGATAAGAGAAAAGTTTAATTTACTGATGAATGCTAGTGTTGTCTGTTATTAGCATGGCTCTAATTTTTTCTGGGAATTGACCCTGAGTAATAATTTCAGCTTTGTAACAATACTGCTTGTTATAAGTATTTTGGAAATAATTTGCAACATAACCTCAGTCAAGAATCATATAAGCAGGAATGTGTAATGTTTCGTAATTATTAATATAGGGATGACCAAAAAAAATACTGCACCCTCACCGTGATAAAATTTTTTTTGGAGAGCTATAATATGCTTATTCAACTAAAATGTGTTTGGATAAAAGGATTCAAAGAATAGAAATGGAGGGAGAGTTGGAATCCATTTTCCTCTATTAGGATATGAATTGGGGGAAGGGAAAAAGAGGGAAATGAGAGTATTCATTTTCCTTCCCCTTATAAAGGACCATTTTCTACCAAAGTCCGAAATAAATTGGAGGAAATACACATGCTCTTCCGGTTTTATCAAGTCTTCCCTCTATTTGCTCCCCTCCCTTTCCCTCCAGCATTGCTATCCAAAAACATCAGTAGGGATCATGTGATTGTCTACCATTCTCTTAAGTTTACAACAAGGTTTCTTGACCAATACAGCAAGTTTCTGTTCTCATAAGTTCATAAAGCAATTTTCTCTTCTGGTTTTATTAACTTCACGAAGAGATTTTTATTATTACCATTTTGACAAGCATCACATAATATACGCAATTGGATAGGACTAACTTACGAAATTCCAATATTAAGAATGTCCTTGACCCAAATCTCACCCTTCTCTTCAAATCCACATCTATTCTGCAGAATCGATCAAGCCAAGGAGAAGAAAAAACATAAAAGCAATGTCAAAATCATGATATAAAAAGTTTACTAGCCAATTTTGAGCCTCGTGAAGGAATTTAAATCTGCCAGAAGCAAGCCTTGACATGCAAGAAGTATGGTTCAGAACAAAATTGATTATGTTTTGGACTATATTCACAAATAGACCTACACCCTAGAAGTAACCGCAATACATGTAATCAACGTCTTTGGAATTATTAATCCAAATAAGAAATAACTTTAAAGAGCTTGATTTTACTAAGTAGCCGCAATACATGATAATCAACATTTTAGGAATTATTAGTCCAAATAAGAAATAAGCAAATAACTTTAAAAAGCTTGATTATTACTAAGTAATTTATAAAGAAACTAGGAACTCACAGGATTAAATTCTGCAGATATAGCTTGTTCAATGTTATCTTCATTCAAAATGCCAACCTTTACAAGTTCCAAGAACTCTTTTCTTGAAATATTCCATTCTTGTTCTCTCTGTTCACAAAAACTGAAGTGTTAATAAGAGCAATCAGACTTTCGCTCCTAAACACTTGCTTAAACAAAGTTTTCATGCTATACCCCTTTCAGAATATTTCTTTCCACAATTCCGACCTTAAGGCCTTTGGCACACAATGCAGTGGCAATGAAAATTCCCAAAGTACCTCCACAAACTATCACATCAAAATTCTCTACTGACTTCCCTGAAGCGTCATCATGCACAAAAGGACCTGTAATACTAGTAACTACCTGTGGTGGTTTAGTTACTGCAACATCAAACTTGACGTGTTAAACAATTATATATTCATATCCAATCTCTTTAATGATGTAGCATATTAACATCATATCATCTATTATACAAATGATGATCTGAAGTACATTATTGTCACCTGTTTCAGCCGAGCAAATATTTGTCCATAATTGATCCAACCTCTTCAAGGCAGTATAAGAATATGATCCTCCTGCACCACCGGCTTCTGTTCCTACCGATATGCTTTCCATTATCCTCTGAAATCCAATAAAACATCCAAGCTTACAACAAGATACTAGGACCTATAGCATAAAAAATTAAGCTACAATATAAGGATTAGTATACTGCCTTAGGCCCTATTCTCTTTACCTTAAAGATTAATTTTCATAAAAATAAGTTAATTTAGTGAAAGTAATGTGAACCTCAGCAAAAACAAGTTATGTGCAGTTTCAAATAACAATTATAATAGAAAATCAGCAAAAACAAGTTTTAATCAGCAAGAATAATTTATCTTCGGCCTTATACTGACATCTAAGCATAGCATACCTTAATACTGAAGCCTAAGCACAATTTGGTCATGATACAAATAAACAAAACAAAACCCGACATGTAACATTGTAACCTGAATTTACAATCGTATGAAGAATTTGACATCAAACCAAGGTATAATAACTTAGTATAGATGTCTGAATGTATCATGTAACCAGACTTTATACACTCATATTGAACACTTAACATCAAAGCTACGGTATAGCTTAGTACTGATGTCTAAGCACAACCCGAACATGACACGAAGCTACGATACAATGCTCTACATGTAGCATTGTAGCCCCGACACATTGTTTAACCCCGAGTCCCGACATGGTTAACAATACAATACGGAGTACAACTTAACAAACAAATTTCAATAATAGTTGTAATGTTGTATCAAGTCTATCCTCTTCCTCCAGACAAATCATGAAATTCAATCATAAATCATTAATTGAGAAATAATGTCAATATTTTCCGCACATACCAAAATAGTATAAACAATACTCAGTAGGCGAGTATAATACTCTAATCCACATATTTTAACAAACTACTTGACAATTTCAATAAAATGAAGAATAAAAAGGAAATAATTGGGTTACTTGAGTCCTGGTAGGAGATGATTGCGAGCACATAACAGTACAAGGTCTCGAAATCCGTGGAATGGAAGAATGGAGTAAAGAAGAGTGAGAAAGAAAGACGCCATTGAAGTGTTGTTGGCATTGTAATTGCTGAAATTGGAGAATTGTCATTCTCATCTTCAAACAAAATCACAGAATTCGTGTTTCTGGTGTTTTCCAACGGTATTAGCATAACACACTCTTTAGCGCTCCACATACTGACACGTTGTTGATTCTCTATCGGTTTATGGGGCTCAATTAAAAAAAAATAAAAAATTCCCAAACCCGCAAAAAAATTTAAGTATCCAAGAGAATCACTGGCAGCATACACACCAGTAATTCTCTTGGATTTTGTTCAGGATACTCACATGTTTAAAGAGAGAATTATTAGGGTGTTACACTAATTCATCATTTAAAAAACTATCCAACTCTTTTATTGCATACACACTTGTCCATTCAATCTTTTTCTCATTCTTTAGGTTTTTCATATTATCGGAACGGACTCCTTTACTATTATCAACATCCATTGACATATTATCTTCAGATTGGATACTTTGAGGAATATTAGAAGCATATATTTTTCTATTTTCCTCAAATAAAAAGTAAGTGAACTCCTTCACATCATTAGCAAGTTTCATACCTGATTAGGGGATTTTGCTCCCACCAATCGGAATGCGCCACGTGGGCCAATCAGGTCCTGCCAAGTGTCCCCCAGTTGGAACTGTCAGGGCTTGCCACGTGGCACGCGCTTATTCGTCCACCTTGGACCTATTATGTCATGACATGTGGCATACTCCATGCCTAATGGAGAAACCGGCCACCCAGGCCCAACTTCCGAGGGAAGCCCAATCAGCCCTAGGTTAACCTAAACCTAGGATGGGCACGTTTCCCAAGGTTATAAATACCTCCCTTAATCCTCATTAAGGGGGATTACGAAAAAACACATTAATTACACACAGTAATAACCGGCTGATCTCGCTAACAAAGCAGATTACCTACATTAAACACTCTCACCTAGAGAGACCCAATCATTTTAATTTCCGCATTAATTACTCCTTAATCAAGTACTAACTTGACCGTTGGAGGCGGAGCTCCCAGGAGTCTCCGTTATTTTGCAGGTACAGGCGTCCGGTTCCAGTCTTGGAATTGTAACTCTCCCGCAGGACATCAGAAAACCCCGAAACATTTGGCGCCGTCTGTGGGGAGAGTACTTCTGAGATGGCATCCAAGTCTGTACCGACTCCTGAAGAGAGGCGTCCCCTAGACAACCCTCAAGTTCAGTCGGACCATGATACCGAGAGTGAATTTGAAGTTGAAGCTCACACAGCTTCAGACGGGACCCTAAGGGCCCGACGTACCCGTCATACCGAAAGGAGGGAACGGGAACATCTTCAAACTGGAAGTGAGCCAGCAGGCGCACCGCCTGTTCGGCAACAGCCGACTGATGGGTCTGCTCCTATCACAAGGAACGAACTCATGACCTTCATGAGGAACTTCAAGGGAGAGATTCAAGAGTTGATCAACAAGAAGCCGCCTGCTCCAGTCAAGGAGCAGTCGGCTAAGAAACCCTCCACTTCACTGAAGAGGAAGCCAGTTCAAGGGCGAGAGGCGACTCCTCATCCTAAATCTAGGAAGCGGGAGCCACCTGCCCTTGATTTCACAAAATTCCGTTTTCCTACAGGAAATAGGAAACATGTTCGTCATATTCAGGCGGACGGGTCGAAGCAAACATTCACAGACGCTCGGCTACTGCTAGAGCAGAAGAAGAGTGACCGATTGTCAGAGTCGGCCTCTACTTCAAACTTTCAAGACAGTCTGCGAAATGCCTCAATGAGGCATACTCAGTCGTATCATGAGAGTCAGTCAAGCGGCACCTCTCGTCAGTCCGGCTTTCATAGCGACCAGGCGGTACCAAACTTACCATTTGTGCCGCAACAACAGTATTTTTTGCAGCCACCTCCGTTTGGTGGACCTGCAGCAAAAAACGTCCAACCTATGGACTGGCAGCTACGGTTGCTTAGACTTGGTGAACAGCCGTCGGCCTTCTCCAAGGAAATTACTGAAGCCGCTCAGCCGGCCAAAGTGAAAAATGTACTAGTAGGCGCCTATGACGGCACTACTAACCCAGAAGACCATCTAATGGCATTCACCAACCTGATGTACCTTCAAGGGTTGGATGATCCCACTTGGTGCAAGTGTTTCCCAGCGACTCTCAAAGGAATCGCACAACAATGGTTCGGCAACCTGCCGACTGGTTGTGTAAATAGCTTCAGGACGCTTGCTTACTTATTCACCTCCAACTTCGCCATGAACATCCCTGCGAAGAAAACGACCCTTGATTCAGGAACAATTCAGCAGGGCGAGAAGGAGGGGCTTCGTTCTTACATCAGGTGGTTTAACCTGATGAGAAAACAGATTCAAGGGTTACCGGATGAGGTAGCCTATACTGACTTTTTCAGGGGTCTCAAAGACGGGTCTACCTTCAAATTTGATTTGGTTCGAAAGAGGGTGGCGACTCTTCAAGAGGCCTTGATTGAATCAGAAGCCTATATACAGGCGACTGATCTTTGTACGGTAAAACAGTCGGACGGGAAAAGGTTCGACAAAAGAGAAGGACGACAGAAACAGTCGTCAAACAAAGATGAGAAGAGAAAAGAGGTCTGGGCGGCTGATTCCTCTAAACAGCCGGCCCAGAAAAAGAAAAAAGAATTCAAACCATACTCCCCAAAGTATGCGTTTAACAAAGATAACCAGTTTATCCTAAAAGAAATCAAGGGACGGATCTCAATTGAGAAGCCGGTCCCCATGAAGGGTTCTGCAAACAACCGGAACCAAGATAAATTCTGTGCTTATCATGATGATGTTGGTCATCACACCAATGACTGCATCAGTCTCATGCGGTATCTGGACCGCCTGGCTGAGCAAGGTGATCTTGACACTTATGTCAAGAAATCTACGGGGAACACTTCCTCAAAAAAGCAGTCGGCCAAAAAGAATCAACAGGCCGACAGCTCCGATACAGATGATGCAGTCGTCTACACCATTGCAGGCGGCTTCTCAGGAGGCGGCCCCACTATTAGGGGCAACAAAGACAATATCAGGCGGTTAGATGTAAATTCCGTTCACCAAGAACGGCCGTCCAAATATTCATTTCCTGAGATTGTCATCACTGAAGAAGATCTAGGAGGGGTAAGAGGGCCGCATGACGACCCTATCGTTATTGAATGTAAAGTGGCCAACCAGAGAGTTGGCCGAATCCTCATAGATACCGGAAGCTCCTCAGATCTCATCAGTAGCAAATGTCTGTCGAAACTAAAATATCAGACTGATTGCATACATCTGGCCTCCCACCCCTTAGTAGGGTTTGGAGGAGGAGTCGTCCACCCACTAGGACGAGTGGATTTACCCATCCGCCTGGGCGAAAAAGGGGAAGGACGACACATGGTAGTCCGGTTCCTGGTAGTAGAAGAACTCTCGGCCAACAACATGATTCTGGGTCGACCAACCCTGAATAATTCCAAGGCTGTTATAATCCCATCTCTTATGTTGCTCAAGTTTGAGAGGGATAATGGAACAGTCGGCTCCCTAAGGGGAGATCAGAGGATGGCCCGAGAGTGCTATCTCTCGGATGTCAAGCCCACTGTTATGGCCACTGGGTCAAGCGGTGAAAAAACAGACCTTGACAATGTCAAGGAGAGTGCGCCTGTTCAAGAACCAGGCGGCAAGAAGAGAAAGGCATCCCAGACAGGGGCCGCAAGAAAAGAAAGAAAATAGCAATCATTGGCAGAGGAGCGGTCGGATGAGTTCCGCCCTCAGCCGGGTGGTGAGCATACGGACCTGATCTTAGACGACTCACGTCCTGACCGAACAGTCAAAGTTGGGACGACTGCTCTGAGAGACCTTGGTGATGACTTTCACAAACTATTGAAAGAATACAAGGACATCTTTGCATTCGAAGTCCATGAAATGCCAGGCATTAGTCCTGATCTGGCGGTACATAAACTGGCCGTGGATCCGAAAAAGAAGCCGGTACGGCAAAAGAAGCGGAACCATGGCAAAGAAAGAAGTCAGGCGGCAGCCGCCGAAGTTAAAAAATTACTTGATGCAGGGTTCATTCGGCAATGTTACTTCCCGGACTGGGTTGCAAATGTGGTGCTTGTTAAAAAGCCGAATGGCACCTGACGAATGTGTGTAGACTACACAGACTTAAACAAGGTGTGCCCCAAAGACAGTTACCCTTGCCTAAAATTGATAACCTGGTCGACTCAACAGCCGGCCATGCTTTGATGAGCTTTATGGACGCCTATTCTGGTTTCCATCAAATTCCTTTATGGAAGAAAGATCAGGAGAAGACGGCCTTCGTCACTGATCAGGGGTTATTCTGTTACACGGTCATGCCGTTTGGTCTTAAGAATGCCCCGGCTACCTTCCAGCGAATGATAAACACTGTGTTCTTTGATCAGATTGGGAGAAACGTCGAGGCATACATTGATGATATGATTGTCAAGACTAAACTTCAGAAAGATCATCTGTCGGACCTCCGAGAAACTTTCGCCACACTCAGGCGGCACCATGTCATGCTCAATCCCAAGAAATGTGTATTTGGAGTTGAGTCTGGGAAATTTCTCGGATTCCTTATCAATCAGAGAGGAATAGAGGCGAACCCTGAGAAGGTGCAGGCGGTCATTGACATGCAGTCGCCTCGTACCATCCGAGAGGTTCAGAAGTTAACAGGTTGTCTGGCGGCCTTGGGAAGATTTCTAAGCCGATTAGGCGACAAATGCCTATACTTTTTCCAGGCAATTAAGAAAAAGGCAAGGTTTGAATGGGGGCCGGATGCTGAGGCCGCCTTCCAGAAATTGAAAGTTCACTTGCATTCCTTGCCGAGGCTGGTCAGCCCTTTGCCCAAAGAAGTACTCTACATGTACCTGGCCGTCTCTGATCATGCGTTAAGCGCTGTTCTCCTTGCTGAAAGAGACGGCTGTCAGCTCCCGGTCTACTTTGTCAGTCACGTACTGAAAAATGCCGAGTTAAGGTATCCCCTAGTGGAGAAATTTGGTCTTGCACTCTTCATGGCTGTTAAAAAATTGAAGCCCTACTTTTTGGCACATGCAGTCGTCGTGTATACAGACCAACCTATCAAGCGGCCACTTACCATCATGGAGTCGTCAGGCCAAATGATCAAATGGGCCATAGAAATACAGAGCCTCGAAGTTACTTTCGAGCCTAGAAAAGTAGTGAAGGGGCAAGCCTTTGCTGATTTTATTGTAGAGATGACTCGTCCTCCTGACTCTCAAGTTCCAGACCAAGTATGGAAGGTATATGTGGACGGAAGCTCTACTTCAAATGGTTGTGGAGCAGGCGTCATATGTCAGTCGCCAGAGGGCGACAGGTACGAGTATGCTCTACGCTTCAGTTTTCAGGCTTCAAACAATGAGGCAGAATATGAAGCTTTACTAGCCGGGATCCGCATG